AATGTCTCTCCCCCCACTGCGGCTGTGCCAAGCAATGGGAGTTAACTGCTCCCTGCATTGGATGGTGTGGCAGAGTGAGGGTGTGACAGCACACTGGGCTGCCCTCCATCCACATTGATCTGTATGGGCTGGTTAATAGAGGGCTATTGAGTTAGGGGTTTCATGGTGAAGCGTTGCTCCTACTAACCACAGCAGGTTTGATTGTCTTAAGCTTTCTTATCACTTGGTAGTTAATAGAATCAAATGGTTGGATCCTTTTTAAATGACACAAATGTAAAATTAGGTTTTTAGGTCTCACTCATGACTTCTTTTTATTTTCCCTTTTTGGTTGTTGTTGCCTGAATGGTGAACAGAGTAGTCTAGAAATTTTGTGTTGGTCCTAAATAATAACTGTCTGCTTTAATTAATTGTGTTATGATTAGCATATCTGAATTATTGCTTAAGTAAAATACTCTTTTTTTTAAATGTTTTATTGTGAATTATGTGATAATTTACATGGGAGAACATTAGCTTTACTTTCATCCTATAATAGTTTATTTCATTGTCATGGTTACAATCCCCTCCATGCATTATCAACCAACCACAGGGTATACCCTGCAAGCCTGTCCCTTCCACGTCGTGAGCACACAGCCCCTCTCCCTCCCTGGGTCTAAAGTCCCCAGCCGCTTTCCATGTCATCATCTCTGCCTCCATCTCAGGTGTCACTGCTTCTCTGGGTAGGGTCACTGCTTCTTTGGGTAGGGTCCCACTCTCCACTCTTCTCCCTTGATGGTCCCAGGGACCTCCACTCCTAGACTACAAAGTCAATCACTCCCCTCCTTGATATAAAACATCAACCATTTACATTTCCAACCCTCAACAATCACTTTCTGAGAACAACTATTCACTATTGTATCACAAGAGACCTATCCACATTTCCTTTCATCAGCCCTGCCTAGACAGATTGGATACTGCTTAGTGGAGATTCTACCTTCCTCCGTGCCCTCTGGATCTAGGCTCCTTCTTGAAAGCTTGTAAGCCAGTCACTTCTTGCCTTTGAAGTCTTCCCGTCCCATCCTCCCCCCCCCCCCCC